AAAAGTGATTTCATGTATTTTTTGTTCAGTGCCAATTACAAGACTATTGTTTTTAGAGCATTTCGTACGCGTTTCCTCCCGCATTTGGCAGTTGCGCTGTCTCCTATACAATCTAGGTAGGGTCCCTGAGGTCTTTGTCATGTCTCCCTGACTCATTAACCCGTAAGTTCGCCTCTCAGCATTCCAGCTTAGTAGATTTGGTACTTTTTGGGCCATTTTCCATTGGGTTAGACTGTTTCCATAACAGGGAGTACCCTCCCCCTCCCCCACGCAGACACTGTATCTCGGCCTTTCCGCGCACGTTTCCTGCTCCATCCGTTATTAATTCAATTCGCCTGGCATTTTCCACTCCGGGTGGGATCATTGTAGCGTATGTCGTGTCTCTCCTGGTCCGTTAATCAATGATTTTGTCCCTGTGAACTACCCATCCAGTGGGTTAAGATTTATTTGCATTTTTATGTTTCAGCGCGTGTTACCTCGTACTTTCGGTGCGCCTTCTTGTGAACACCCTGACTCGAAAGTGCCAACTCTGACATCTAAATTTGCTGATCCATGTTACAGGAGCAATGTCAGAAAATTTTAAGTCATTTTCTGATTACCTTTAAGAAGAAAATTCTCAAAATAACAGTCACCTAAGGTAGAAGAAAATCAAAATCATATTGTAATTAAAAAACTAAAATAAGCAGGGATGGACACAACTGAGAAAGATTAACACAGATTAAGAATCAGTAAACTTAAAAAAAATCACGGGCCAACTTTTTTCAAGATGCACCTTCCGTGGGCAGTGAATGTAGCATACAGCTCTTAGAACCATATATCCAAGAATCGTTTTTCCGTAAGTCTTCAGGTTTCTATCGACTGTTAAAGAAAATACAAAGTTTTGAAATGTGTTGGCACGAAACTATTCTCAGTTACGAATTTCCGTTGCAAATTATTCCAAGTGTAGTACGTGCTGAGGCTCATAATTATTCATCTCGTGTTCAGTTATTCGCTATCACATGTTCGTTGGTTCTTGCTCTCTCCACGTTTCTACAAAAAAGAGAGAAAGAGAACTGCTTGCTAACCTTAGCTTGTAAAACTATAAGGTTATAATGTTGGTACAAAACTACAGATACGTTCCACGGCCAGGTACGATTATTGGACGAAATAACGATATATTTGACGTGAAGCCAATGTACACGTGCTTAATCCTGGAGGTTCAGTCGAGCTTCTAGCGTTTAAATATGGCTGTTGCTTCTTTGTTTGATGTTTACTACAGGCGGCCCAGACGTTGAATATGATTAATATGTGACATTAGGCTTTTGCCGTTTATACGACTATGTATGAGAATGCTTCGAAAATTGCTCTAAATGCTACGTGTAGAAAATAACTTAAATAAAAGTGGCTTACCTTATGTTTGTATTGCGTTATTTTGATGTCTGTGTTCTTGGAGGCGGTTTAGAGCCATTTAGGCGAGTTTTACTTTCTAGCGGCTCTACATTTCCCTCGTGTTCTCAAATGCCCGTCGTGTTTTATCACAGTGTAATACACGGCTTAGGCTTCTTTATTTGTTAAATCAAAACGTTCAGATTTTTTGCTTGTGATTATTTTTTGCGTGACCTGTGCCGCTTACCTGCACCCGCGCCGCTTACCCGCAACCCGCGCTGTATACCCGTGACCCGCGCTGTTTACCGGCGACCCGCGCTGATTAGACACTCCCTCACCAAACGGGCATAATTTGTAACTATTTCAAACAGGCCAACCCGAAACTACACCCTTTAACATGTATGACGGTCGTTGTATACTCGGAATCATAATCGGGAAATTGGCTCGACAGGGTACCCCTCTCCCACCCCACTGCCTCCACCGTTGGAAACAAAAGGGGAAAAAATTCATTTATGACATTTATAACTGGAAAGACAGAAACAAGAGAAATAAATTCACGCGGCGTAACGCGAGATGGTAACGTGATCGCACGTAAGTTCCCGCGTGAAACCGTCTTTCCCGCGAAAAGTTTTCGTGACGTTACTTGTTTTCCGTGACGCGAAGACACGAAAGACACTGGTAACGAAAGAGAATCCAAACATGGCGACGGGATCTCGCAGTTTTGATAGGATTATAAACTTATTTTGGTGCCAATACCATGATTAATATGGCATCTATGGTATCAGTTTCCTTTTGAAGCATATTTTCCTCGTGTTGGCTGGATTTAGGTGCAAGAAAAATGGCTGTGACGGCTACAGAACACTGAAATGAAGACCACCTTTGTGCTGATTACTGACAACCGCTTGGCAAATTATTCCACAATTTAACTGTTACTAAAGGTAAGCTTAAAACCAAAAGCTGTTTTTTACGAAAATTAGTTTCTCTGCTGGTGTTTCTTCATTGCTATTGCCCAAGTAAGTACTGAAGTTGGTTTAATTTTATTTTGTTGAGCTTTTATAATTTATACAGCGGGAATATTCAAATTCTTAGCACATCTCGCACGTGCCCGCCGTTGTTTTGAGCAAAATGTATGCGAGACTGGCCTTTGTTTGAGATTATAAGCATACAAAACGAAATACCAACCTCTTAGGAATCCTCTCAGACATTATTAAAGGTGCTAGAAGTTGCAAAAAAGATAAAAGGTGCCAAAATTATGTTTTTTAAGACACAGAGGATTTCCATCTAGTTTGCATATTTTTTTATTTTGCACGTGGTAGCTTTGAACTTTTGTTAAACTCTTGTATTCCTTTATGGATTTCAAATCCACTATGAACATGAGCTATTTTGAATAATACTTTTTTTTCTGGTAATTCTGGTCTTAAATTTATGAATCTTATAACATCTAATTACCTGGAGTGAAAATCTCCGAGAAATCGTTCTGTTTGACTTTCAGAAACACTGGCTTGAATATCATCTGGTGTGGGGTGTTATTTTGCTTTTTATCAAGAATTGTCCCTAAAATTATTTAATTGGGAGGGAATTAAAAAAAAGGTCGATGAATTTTTTTTTATACTCATCCCTGAATGAGATTAATCCATACTCAATGTAATCCCAGAGTTTCAAATTAATTGAAACATTTTAAGCCTGCTAATTTTCAGCGTCAACTGAGGAAAATATTGCACTGATTTTCACTTATGTTGCTTGTTGTCTTCATCGTGAATTAAAAAACGCGCGACTGATTTCCGGCGATTTTCCAAAAGCATTCTAGAATTTGCTGAGCTAGCATTACAATAACAATAAAATATATGTCATACTTTCACTCATTTCACATTAACGCAGCCATGCCGAGGTTAAGTGGTGAGTGCAAACAGAAAATCACTATGCTGAATGTCTTGTTTATGTTTAGCATAAACATAAACAAGACATATATTTTATTGTTGTAGTAGTGTTAGCTTGGAATATTTTAGCATGCTTCCGGAAAATAGCCGAAAAGCAATCACATGTTTTATTTATTCCTCATATACAGAAATGTACAATGGTATGGTGATTTGAGACAAAAGAAAAATATATTTCCAAAATTATCCCTGATGGCAAGTTATTTGGTCTTATGTAAAATGGGATATGGCATCATTTTGTTGCTATGGTAACACAGACCTTCATAAGACTTACCTAATTTGAAACTTTCATCTTTCTCTTGCATGCCAGTAACATTCAATTTTCTGTAGGATTGATAATGGTGCTGCTCTAGTCACTCAAACTTGAATGGTGTCGTTACTCAAAAATCCGATCACGCCACATTAAAAGGGTTATTTTGTGGGTAGCTGGTTTTGTATGGAGAAATTAACTAAAGGTTACTGACTTTCCCCATCAGTTAGAACTGCGAATTAAGGAAACAAATTTTAGCAACATAATTTATTGGGTAAGAATGACGATTGGTCCGTCCTGTAAAATACTTGTGCGACAAGATACAATTACCAGGGGTGGTGAATGGTTAATCCAACACTTTGTGAGAATGGGCAGAATAGCATTTTCCTTTACGCACAAGGGCTCCAAGACAATGAGCTAATCAGAACTCTGAGACCTCTTAGCCTTTCAAAAAAGGTTGAGACGCTGAGACAGTTTTGTGGAAATAAATGAAGTTGCGAGATGCACGTAGTCGTGAAAAAAAGGTAGTAATTGTAAAAGGGACAGGGAAGTAAAATGATTGCTTTGAATTTCAAACTAATAATACTATACTTTGAGGTCATAAAATAATTTCCATCAACTGGTATATCTTTGGGTCTGAGAATTATTCCAAGAGATTTTTTGTTCTATTTTCTATTTTATGTACTTAGAATTCAACTTGATGTACACTTATGCATATGCTGCAATCTGATTGGCCGAGGTATCATATTATACTATGAGCTATTAGTGTGCAAAGGCTTCAGGTTGTCTACGAATTGACAAAGTCTCCCATACGTGTATTTCTGAAGTTTCAGGGGAACACACACACACAAAAAAAAGATATTAAGTCATAAAATTCTTGAGAAGGTGAACAGGAGGAGGTTTAATCGTACTTGAATTTAAAACCTTGAAATTGTAAAAAAGTTAACAAGTACTTGAACACAGCTGCCAAGTTGAAAACACAGTGGACCATTGTGATGATGTCACACAATTGAAAGCAAATGCTCCTCCCCTGGTTGACATTTCTTTGAAAAAACTGGCAAGTTCATTTGAAACATCGCATTTTACTAAATTTGGTAGTTGAGTACAATGTAAGAGTGCTTGTTGGTGAGAACCAAAGAAGATTACAAAAATGTGGCCACAAGGATGAAAAAAACTGGTAGTGTTTCGTAATTTGACAAAAGAGACTTCAGACACAGCTTTCCAGTGTTTACAATAATATTTCCTTTTTATGTTATCATCTTGTGAATCTTCATTTATGAACATTGAAGAAACTTGCACAAACATATAACTTCACGATCACCTTTTAATGTACACCACTCTAGCCCAGAGATGACATACATGTGTAAAGGTTTCTTATCTCTAACAAATGCTTTTTGGGCTTCAATGTCACACCCTTCATTGTAAAATTCCCTTTCTTTAATGCAACATGGAATTTACAGGTTCTGCCTAATTTGCATGATTGTATGTTTATTTATCTGGGTATTGATGGCCTCTTAGAGACAACAGATATAGTTACTGTAATAATTTGATGTCGAAAAAAAAATGTTATTGTTTGGTTGAGGAGAATCACAGACAATGTATAGGGTTTCACAGGGAAGGTTTGGATATTTTATGGAATCATTATGGTCTGTTGTTTGTAAGTCAGAGTGTAGACTACAGAAAATGTGGTGAATTAGTGGTGAATTATGGGGAACATTTGGTGTGAAGTCATGGGTGAACAGGAGAGGGATGTGCTATTTTTAACAGTAATTGCTTGACTTCAGATGATAAAAAAAAATGTATTGTGTACAATTTTCTTTTTTTGTCAAGCCACTTGAGGAAGGCTGGATCAATGTGGATGAACAAGTCATTAGGAAAAGAAGACAAGGAAAGAAGGAAGGAAGGATATTTGAGACTGAAGGGGTGAAGAGACAGATCTAGAGTGAAAAAAGAAAGACATGGGACTGATGTACATGTATATGGCAACAGTTCCAACTGGAAGAAACCAAATCAGTCACCTTGCCTGCTGACCAGGTAAATACTAAACTGGAAAATGCTACATGTAGGAAATTGATTATCTCATCTGAATTTTCAAGCACGGGTGGGGGTTATTGAGAGGCTCAGATTCTGCCGATAATTTATATGCTGTTACATAAGAAAGAATAACAGCTATACCTCTCCCAGTTAAATCAGTCCTGGATCCTAAAGAGGTGTCTTGTAAATGGGCCAGAACAAGAAAGCTCAACACAAAATTACAAGATGCCTGAAATTACAAGATGCCTGAAAAATGTTTTGTTTGTGAATCATTGTTGAGATGTTCTATATTTAATGGTAATTGGTTGACTTGAGATGTTGAATGTATACATGTACAATTTTCTGTTTTATTTTTTGTCAGGCCACTCAAGAGAGAGCTGGATTGATGTAGATTAATAAGTCATTAGGAAAAGAAGATAAGGAAAGAAGGTAGACAGGAAGTGGATGCTAAAGACTTAAATGGTGGAGAGACAGACCCCCCCCNAAAAAAAAAAAAAAAAAAAACAGTTGCAACTGGAAGAAACTAAATCTGTCACCTTGGCTAACCAGGTAAATACTACTGGATTATCTCATCTGATGTCAGATCTTTAAAACACTGGGTCTTGGGTTCAAAACTCAAAGTTTCAAACAAGGGATTAGGGTGGGGTATCAGAGAGTGATTTAAATATGGACGTACAGTTGCTACTGGAAGAAGCAAATCCAGTCACATTGACTGACCAGGTAAATACTGTACAATGCTTGGATAATGCAACTTGTCAGCTTTTCAGTAAGAGACCATTGAGGTATTAAAGGTGGAATTAGGGGAGAGATGTGTTGCAGGTGCAAACAGGGAAAGGTTAGGGAAGGCAAAAATTGGAGGAACAGGGGGGGGGGGAATGCCTGCTACATGTATAAGAACTAGGCTTTTCACCTAACGTCTACCAAATTCCTTATAATTTGATTTTATAGACTGTCAGTGACTGTCAATACTGTATGTTCTTCAGTAAGAAAAAACTGGCAGTGTAAATTCCTGTAGGAAAGCCTAAATCTTACTTTAAATCTAATTCTAAATCTAATTCTAATTCTAATCTAATTTTTCGTTTTCAAATATTTTGTTCACAGAAATATTAGCTTGTCAAGCTACTCTGAAATTCGAGCTTAAATAAAGCTTATGTATGTATGTATGTATGTATGCTTGCAAGATTTAAATCTCTCAATTGAAAGCACTTGTTAATAAATCTGTGTTTTAAGCCGTTGTGGCTATTTTTTGATGAGATAATATGCAACTAACGATTAATTTAAAAAAAATACTCATTACAATTAAAACTACTCTGAAGTTAGATCTTTAAAACACTGGGTCTTCGGTTCAGAAAAAAAAAATTAAAAAACACACTATTCACTGTGTGTATCAGCCTATCAGAATTTTGCACCTGCCAGCAGGGGCAATAATTAAGACTTCACTGAATTAAAACTACTCTGTTAAAACTACTCTGAAGTCAGATCTTTAAAACACTGGGTCGTGGGTCCAGGCAAAAAATACTCAGTGTGTATCAGCCTATCAGAATTGTGCACCCACCAGCAGTGGCAGAAGAATCAGAAAAAAAGGGGTTCTTATACATGTATCAGGCATTCCGCCTTGCCTACCCCATTTTATACTGCAGCAAGTCAGACTTCTTTGTGCAGAGAAACAAACTGACAAAGGTAACAAAAAATTATAATGTGGAGATTGCATTTGAAGTTGGAATGATCAATCAGGCTTAAAAGTAGTTTGTAACATCTGGTGCTGATTGTTGAAAAGTCAATAAACATAAACCTTTGATTTCTTCAGGTTCACCTTTGGGAAAGTGCCTTGTTCTAAAATTCTGTTAGTTGTATAAATTATGTACACAGAACTTTACAGTGCTACAGTGTAAGTGCCTTACCATTGCCACCTAGGAAAATTTCCTATTAGTTTTTGACATCTGTTTGATAACTTCTGATGGCCTCCATTTCAAAAGGCCAATCAAACTGTGACAACTTGCCCACTGGTTTCAGATGTTTGCAGCTTGAGACTTTTGAAATTCCCACAAGAGTGAATGGTCAATTTGACAATTTAACATCTTGGTCCTCAACAGTTCCCATGTTTTGATTGGCTGGTTAAAAATACAGCAATTAAATGTTATGAAAAAGTTGTCACAAAGATGTTAAAATCAAGTAATCAAAAAATTTCACTGTGCAAGGTCATAATCAAGAATCTTTTCTCGATGTGTCATTTCATAGTCAACAATGGATGGACAGTAGACATATCTGGAAAGACAGTGGACAAACCTGGATGGATAGTGGGCAAACCCAAAACATTCAAACTTGACCAATCAGGTAAATACATGTAAATGTACACAGTTACTTCGGATCATGTCTCAGGTTGTAATCAAGGATCTTTTCTGAATGTCTCATTTCATTGTACATAGTCAACAATGGATGGACAGTAGTCTGACAAGTTTGGACAGACCGTGGACAAACCTGGATGGGAAGTGGTTGCGTTTAACTAAGTTATCAGTCTGACCAAAGCAGTCATTTAAACTAGTACACATGTAATTAGTGAATGAAATTAAATATTAATAAAAGTAATTTATATTTTATATAATGACTTGTAATCCCAGTGTCACTGTTAAACAAACTGAGAGTTAAAACCAAAAAAACTGGTAAAAAATATCTGTTGTCCAAAGCTTTAGATTGGATCCCACAATAACTCATCATTTGGCTTGTTTTGTCATAGGATGCTAGACAGCAGTGATCATCACAAGACAGCATGGACTTGGAGAGACAAGAAAATGCAGTTAATGGGTAACACACCTGGAGACACAAATTGAAGAGTATGCTTAAGGATTGGTTGCCAAGACAAGACAACAAGACGGTTTATTATTAGTAGTTTGTGTGTTTAATTGTGCAGCTATTTGGCCCAGCCCGGGAGGCCTTTGAACGCGGGGTACAGCTGGCCCGGGGTTTTCCTCCTAGTGCAAGTGGACGTAGAGGGAGGTTTTTCACCCAGCTGTTGTTCCACAACCCCTGTTCAGATTAGTTGATTATTTCTTTAGCTTGATAGTCGTCTACTATATATTCATAATAGACTCTTGGTTAACACCTTGCTTTAGTTTGGAGTAAGTCAACCTGATTGACGCTGACTTGACTACAACTTACTGAAACACACAACTCTCAATGGATACCAACAACTTGTTGCCTCTTTCACTCAGCAAGTGACTTTAACTTCCAACAGAACTGGCAACACAAACATGACTAACAATAGATGGATTTAAAATGAGAACATCAGACAACAAGACCTTACAAATCACTTATTCATGGCCTCAACAAACCAAACAACAAACTATAACTTCAAACAAAACCAACACAAACTTGACCTAACAATATATGGACTAAAACTATAGACAACATCCGACACTGAAAACTACTTACACTGTACAGTTGACTTGTTCGTGTATTTATAATTTTAACAAACAAACCAACAAACTGAAACTTCAAACAGAACCAACACAAACCTGACTATAACTGCAATAGATGGATTGAAACTGAGATCTCAAACCAACAATTGCATGTACATCTTACAGATGACATATTCATGACCTCAACAAAGCAACCAACAAACTTTGAATTAACCTAAAACAGAACCAGCACAAACTTGACTGTCTAACAATAGATGGATTAAAACTACACAGCAACTGACACTGACAACTTTACACCCTACAAGAATTATGACGTATTCAAAACCTCAACAAACCATTTACCAACAAACTTTTAATTAGCTGTAGACAAAACCAACACAAATTTGACAAACATTTTACAATGTAGATGGATTGAGCTGACTATATACATGCATGCAACATCTGACACTGACAACTACTTACACATGAATATTGACCGATCATGATCTCAACAAACCTAAATCTGAACCTGACTGTAGCACTTCAGTGCAGAATGCTGCCAGAATACTACGGACTAAGATTCTGACTTAACCATGATCACCAAAATGTAACAGACTACAGAAACTGCACAAGCCACGTACTAATGCAAAGATTAGCATTGAGTCAGATAATATTATTATTATATGTAGATGTGTGTGCCACCATTGTTCAAACAAGTGCCTTTTTTTGAAAAAAAAAAAAACCACCCTAGCTGTCTCTGCATGGGATTAATTGGTTCATTGATTGGAAGCAGAGATCTCTGTTACTGTATGTAGTTTTCACCCCAGGTTGCTTTATAGATTAAATTGATTTGAAATAAATTATTCAAGATGTTGTTTGTTTCATGATGTGGTCCCTTGGGATGTAGATTGCAATGCTTTTACTCTTACTGGTGGTCTACATAGCCTTCATCCAGCAATGAGGGCTAGCAGGAAGTAGTCAAATATCGCAATCTGCATTCCGAGGGAATACATTGTAGGACAGACAATAACCCATGTTACACTGACCAGCAACCATCTCTTTCATGACCAATTTTATTTATTTTTGGACACATATTATTGAGAGAACTTCATGCTGCAGCAAAGATCTCTGACTCCAATCAATGAACCAGTTAATCATGAAACCCATTCCATTTGGCTGGTTTGAATCCATTGAACGGTAAATTTTACTCTTGCACTTGTTTGTTCCATTTGAGTTAGGGTTGAAAGTTCAAGCACAAGATTCCCTTGAGCATTTTTTTTTTCATCCTTTGCTTAGATGTGTGAGGTACAGTTTCTCCTAGACTAAGTCTCAGGTGAATTTTAAAATTGTTTAGAAAAGTTGACCAAAAGTTGCAAAACAATTTCAAAAATTAATCATAAAGAAACAAACCAGTATAGCGCATATCAATTAAAAGCCATAATATATATCAGCATAGAAATTCTCTTATCTTGTCAGACTCCACATCTTTCCAATAGTTACTGATTGCGAAGACAAATTTTCTTGTGATGCATGATCATTTGGTCAGTTCTCATTATGTCTGGTTCTGTCTGTGAGGAGAAGCTAGTTGCTGATCATTTCTGGGGTTTAAAGGATTAAACAAAGATTAACAACAACAGATAATGTTGAACTAAATTTCAAGAGTTTATTTCTTCAATTCCAAAATTCATACATGTAGTATTTTACAAAACACTAGAACACATATGACTTACAGTTAAATCATTTCCTTTGAGGTTTTGCATTGAACAAAATTACACTTAAAGAAAAATGCATGTCTCAAATTTCAAAATTTGCACATTAATGGCACTGAACAAAGTATTGAAAACAAACAGCATTAGCCAGGTTAATGGTAACTGCTACATGTAAGCAACTTTGATCTTTTGGGCACATGCTAAGTTTTCGTTCTTACCTAATTTTGAGAGAAAAGGGCCTTAGCACAGTCAGCACATGTTCAGGACACCCAGTTTTTCACCATCCTGGTTTTGCCATGAGTTTACTATCAATGATTGGGAAAACTCTCAGAATTTAGTCAGCAAATTCTTCAATGCTCAAGGGAAACTTGCTAAATAATTACTTGTCATGTACATGTAGTGTATTTCATTAGAATCAATATTTAACTAGTGAACTCTAACAACAATCAACATCATGCTGCCATGCAAACTTATTACCTACTGTAGCTTTCATATATTTTAAAATAATGTTTGTTATTAATATGGTTTGTTACAATTTGTATTTACATGTAGTTTATAAGCTGTTGACTCATTGCTTTTGAATAGCAGGCAGTGATTCAAAAATAATTTCCTTTTTCAAATGTTTTTTTTTTTCTATTTTGTAATTAAGTGCCTGGCAACTTGATGGTGGCTGTTTAATTCATAAACAAGGGAAGCATTTAATATTATAAATAAATGATCTCAAGATAGTCAGACAAATATTTTTCATTTTCAATTTATATCAGTTTGGATAAGAATTATTTCATCTCCAAAATTTGGCCTGGGTGCACAGTTCCCATTTTGCATTCCATGTTCAGGGACACAAAATCATATCTATTTACTATGAGGCTACCACAAAATTTAGCAGCTTTGTCATGGCAATGTTTTCACTTTTTCCTAGTTTTTAACACTATAGTTATACCAGTAATTATAACTGCTTCCTTTGTTTACATTAGTTTAATTTACTCAGTATTCCTACTAAGTAGATCTGCAAGCTCATTAGCCCAAATTGAAATTATACAAGCAAAAAATTAGTACTTATTTTCAAGTGCAACAAAACTTGCAACCACTAGCTAGGTGCGATGATAGTCTTATCATGTCCACTCCACCATATTTACCTTTTTGTCTGAATTGATTACTTTCAAGACTTGCCAAAATGTTCATTAATTTGCAAATGTATATGCCTAAAGCCACAAAATATGACACTACTTGATTGCAGAAAAGTTTGAGCAGCAGTGTCACTGAAGAATTAATCATTTTTTGTCAATTGGGATCTTTTTTTAGAATTTAGCTATTGTTTTTTCGAAGTCTCATTAATTTTTCATTTCATTTCAATTTCTCAATTTTTGATTCAATTATTCCTGGATAATGGCAATATTGATATTAAGATTAGACAAAGTACATGTAAGATCAACAGTCTGCATTTTTAACTTTAGCTATATAATTTGCTTTTTCTTTTGTTTTCCTGTTGTTTTATTTTAATTTACAAACATAATTATAGTACGTATAAACAAACCTTTTTGCCAAGCCTCATAAAAAATGATCACAGCGTTATCGGTAATCAGATTACTTTCATAATGCAGACTGTTGATGAGCATTATTTTATTTTAATTTCATTGGCACAGATTGCTTGGTTCTTTCTTGGTGTTGCAAGTCATCATATTTTGAAGGCTCCTTTAGGCCTCCTTTAAACTCTTTCTTTGCTTAATTTCCTCTACAAAATTTTAGGGTTTTTTTTCTGATTTCTTTTTTAAGCTTGAAGGCATTTTTTTTACTTGCCACCCTAAACACACACACTCATAAATCTTGTTTCTTTTTTTCTGGGCATGTATCACCAAGAAACAGCCATTTTTTTCTTTATTAGTTTAGTTATAATGTGCTTGCAAGTATCTACTAACTAAGCTGTTACAGTAGCTTCTTATTTAATTCCAGGACAGAAGGTGGCACACACATCAAGACCAAAGATTGGTCATATTTAAATCTAGCCAATCACGTCCCTGCTGGGTTGTGGAAGCTCTGCCTCTGAGAAGGTGTGTGTTTCTGATATCCTCTGAAATATTCCAACTGAGAAATCCTGGGAAACTTTATCTGATCCTGTAATTCAAACCGGGGATAGTTGAGCACTTGGAAGAGTTGGCCGTTTGTTCTCAAGTGGAGTGGACAGTGTGAAGGAAGGTGAGAGTTTGCTTTTTATGTCTTTAAGGTTTCACATGATTTGTCACAATACCACACCATCAATTTCGGCCCTGCAAGATGCTTGTTTGAAGTCAATGTATCAGGAAATGTTCTACAACCAGGGATGTAAAGCAGGAGTGCTGAATTGTGGAGCTCAAGGAAGGTGCATCTCTAGAGAAAGCATAGACATAGGAGATCACTGAATTTCATCAGTCTGACCTGATTGGATTTTTACAAATGACATCAAATTGAGCCGAGTCACTGGGGGTCTCTCTGATTGAGTTGCTACTGGGTCAGGTTTTCTTTCTTTTCTAGGTTCATTTAATAAACTTAAACTTAAAAATACTAAAATAAAATCCTATAGGCTTGATTATAAACAAAACACATCTTTTTGAAAAACAATTCTTACTAAGCATTTTCCTAAATTTTAATTCTCCCTTTTAAGAAATTTCAAACAACTAAATTATTTTCATTCCCTGTTTTCATTTTCTTTTAACTTATAACATAACTTTCTCGCTTTGGCGGTTTGTTTTCCCATTACAGGCCATGTGATATATTCTCTAGAGAATTGTTCTTTTATCCATCTTAAAATTATTTATTCATATGGACACGACTATTTAAAAATTTGAAAGGAAGAATTTTCAAGAGTACCATCACATGGTCTGAAATGGGGCAACAAACTGCCCAGTCAAAAAAGGTCTATTCTCTAATTTTCCAAAAATTACTATCATTAGGTTGACACTCCACAAACTTGGGGGAGTACCTGGGTCTCTGGGATTGCTTTGGTAACCAACATGAGCTGTGATTGGGTCAATGGTCCCCTTGGTAACAAAGCAATCTGAGAAATCAGTGTGCTGACAGCTTGTGCCTAGTCTTCCTTAAGTGTCTGTATTGTTTAATAGTAATTCTTATTTGTCAATTGGCAATTTCTTAGAAGCTAAATATGTAATTGGTGTTTGAGGAATAATTCTTCATCAGTAGGCTGTTTAACTGTTAAGTAAATCGGAGACATACCATTTAACAGTTAGTTAGTCTTTTGATGAAGGGTAATTCTGGAACATTTTGCATTGATCATTATTTTAAGCATTTTAGTTACCGGTAATTTAATTTCTAACCAACCTAAATAATCAAACAGGAATTCAAAAAATTAATACAGATATAAATTAAATCACTATAGCATTTCTTTATTCAAACTGAAATTTATTATTTTTGTAACGACACTAAAACTTCATAATTATAAACATTTTAAGGGAAAAAATTTAAAAAATGAACATTTTGAGGGGGTTATACTTTTCTAGGTAGGCTCGATTTTTTCGTGGGTTTTTTCTTTTCCACTAAAATTCACTAAAATGCAGTTCCTCGTTTGTCACGCAATGCTCCTCTACAAAGTAAAGAGAGACATTGCGTGAGCAGGGAAGTCAGAGATGCGAAGGACGCTGCAATCTCTCGTAATGGGAATTTTTCATTAACAAACAAAAATATTTTAAACTTCTACAATGGAAATTAACGAGTGAAGTTGGATTTTGAAACCATTTCAAGTCTAAACTTAGCCAAATTAAGAAAGAAAAGAAGTCGCGACCAAATTTATTAGTCAACAATTTTCCAGTTTTAAATCTTTGCGCGAATAAATATTTAGTTTAAACACAACAGAACTTAAGCACATAGACTGACACTGTTAGCAGCGATTCGGCCTAAACCTCAAGCATGTTTTAGTTTTCAAGTAACAACAAGACCCGCTCAGTTTCGTTTGTTAATTGCTCGTTTCAGATCACGGATGTTCTCAGGAGAATTGTCTCTGTGATTAGTCATTCATTTGCACGGCAATTTGATTTGCTTATAAAAAAAAAAACAACTCTCCATGGTTACGTCACGTGATATGAAATACGGCAAGAAACAAACAAGATGAATAAGCATAATTAACTAAAACTTTTTGCAATATTTTTATTTTTAAAACATATATCGGCCAATTTCTTTCATCCAAATTAAAGAAAGTTACCTGACATCGGTAGCTTCACAGATGAAAGACTTTTAGTGACTTGTGCTCTTTGGTGAAGTTTGTGGAATNCGTGACGCGAAAGACACTGGTAACGATAAAGAATCCAAACATGGCGACGTGAGCTCGCAGTTTTCAGAGGATTATAAACTTATTTTGGTACCAATACCACGATTAATATGGCATCTATGGTATCAGTTTCCATTTGAAGCATTTTCCTCGTTTGGCTGGATTTGGGCGCAAGGAAAATGGCTGTGACGGCTACAGAACACTGAAATGAAGCCTACCTCTCAGTGTGCTACTAACAGACAACAGCCTGGCAAATTATTCCACAACACTGTTACTTAAGGTAAGGTTAAAATCAAAAGCTGCTGTTTACGAAAATCACTTTTTGTACTGGTATTTTTCCATTGCTATTGCCCAAGTAAGCATTGAAGTTGGTTGAATTTTATTGCGTCGAGCTTTTATGATTTATACAGCGGTAAATTCAAATTCTCAGTACTGTACATCTCGCACGTGCCCCCCGTTGTTTTGAGCAAAAAGTATCCGAGACTGGCCTTTGTTTAAGGTCATAAGCTTTCAAAACGAAATCCCAACCTCTTAGAAATCCTCTTAGACAATACTTAAGGTGCTAGAAGTTGCAAAAAAGATAAAAGGTGCCTTTGTATTTTTTTAAGACACGGAGAATTTCAATCTAATTTGCATAGTTTTTTAATTTTCACGTGGTAGCTTTGACCTTTTGTAAAACTCTTGACCTCCTTTATAAATTTGAAATCCACTGTGAATATAAGCTATTTTGAATCGTACTTTAAGGTGCCTTAAGGTGCCTTTGTATTTTTTTAAGACATGGAGAATTTCAATCCAATTTGCATATTTTTTTAATTTGCACGTGGTAGCTTTGAACTTTTGTGAAACTCTTGTATTCCTTTATAAATTTGAAATATACTGTGAATGTAAGCTATTTTGAATCGTACTTTTTTCTGTGTTCTGTGCACATATCCCTTTGTGCAAAATGAGAATTTTTTTGGTTAGGGTGTTTCGATCGGATTTTTGAGTAACGATACTGTTCAACTTTGAGCGACTAATGCACCACTGTTATCAATCCAACAGAAAATCAAACGTTACTGGTGTGCTAGAGAAAGATGAAAGTAACAAATGGGGTACATTTCACTCAATAAATTTGTTTTAGATTTGGTCCTCAATGAGATTAATCCATATTCAACGTAATCCTAGAGTTTCAAATTAATTAAAACATTTTCAGCGTCAACTCAGGAAAATGTTGTGCTGATTTTCACTCATGTTGCTTGTTGCTTTCATTATAATTTTCTTTTGTCTCGAATCACCTACCATGCTATCGTACAATTCTGTATGCAGTGAAACCTGTATTAAGGTAATAAGCAGACACCCTTGGGACCCTCATTAGTGTCCGCTTAATACATGGTGTCCACTGAAAACAGGTTTTAATATGTTGTGCAATAATAATTTATTATTATATGGCTTTGGCTTGTGGCTGATATAACGCGCACTCTGATTGGCTAAGAGTGAGATTTGAGCAGTCATTATGCAGCTGTAATGCGCATGGGCTGATTACGGATTATGCAAATTAGGAAGAGCCCGGCTCTGAAAATTCATGTGCATTGAAATGATGAAAGCCGATTAAAAACAGTAAGAGAAAGTAAATTTGATTCTGAGTAGCTAAAAGTTTAGAGATTTTTCCTTAATAAAATTTATATAAAAGTTGTTTTTGACTTACCAGCTGGTAACCTTGGCTGGCACAAGTGAAAAACAATCAAAGTTTGCTGAGTCTTAAGTACGCTCAAAGCTAAAATGGCTAGGTGAAAAACACCATCAGCAGATCTGTCATGCATCCTGAGCAGAACACCGTGAAGAAACTTATAAGTTATCAACTTAGTCACAGCAATTAACGAAATATTGAACTCCGTCACAGTTCTCATGAAATAGATTCGCTAACCAGTTAACACAAGCAAGTGTAAATCAGCTTCCAGGATCATAAGATGTAAACAATCGGGTGGTTTCTGTTGGTAGCAGTGTTTTAGATAACTGCAGGAATTTTTAGATGTTCTCAATGCTTGAAAAGTTCATCCATAAATCCCAGAATGAAGAAGGCGAAGATATGTTGTCGAAAGCGAATGCGAAGATCGAGTTATTCTGAGCAGTGCATTCTGAAGACTCTCTAAAGCATTAGTATTTTCTTTCACCGAAAGACTGTTTGTTTGGACTATTTTGAAGCACTTTCTGTCTTCTCTATATGTGTTGATACTTTGCTACAAAAGTCGGAAAAACTCCCCCATCAAGTTGTGGCACCATGATACTAAAATACCTTTTTGAGGCTGTAACAATCATTCTTCCCGTAAAGAAATCTGTTTTTAACAGAATACGTAATACAGTGGTGAAGTTCACTGACTGTCTAGTTTTGTCTTGGGTTTGAGACGATGAATGAATCCGCAAACATATGCATCACCGGATGTAAATTGATGACTTCCGCTCGAATAATCTTTTTCTTTTCTTTAATTCATGAGCCATATAATAAACAACTTAATAACCTCGACTGTTTGGTTGTTATGGGAAAATCTCAAACTGCGGCCTACTGTATTGACCTCGCTATTGCTTGGTCAATACAGCAAGGCCTCAGTTTGAGATTTTCCTGTACCGACCTCACTCTCAGTTATTAAGTAGTTATTATTAACCGTTTTGTAACACAATGTAAAACAGTGTAAGATCGAAGACTAGCTAAGACTGCTCATAGTACAATGTGCAGTTAGTCAATGCATCAATCTGGAATAATGGCTTAGCTTTAAAACAACATTGCTGAACAGTGACGGCCTTACCACCAGTGTCTACAGGAAACCAACACATACTGATCAGTACCTAGAGTATGATTCACACCACCCTCAGTCAGTAAAGCGCGGTATTGTGAAGTGTCTGTACGACTGGCTAAACATCTCGTGAGCAAACCATCAGTAATCGCTGGAGAGAAGAAACATCTGTCATCTGTACTTTTTTCTAACGAATATCCCTCCTCGTTTGTACAGAAGATCACAAAGGCATGAACAACCCCAAGAGGAGAGCCC